TGTGTGTGTGTGTGTGTGTGTGTGTGTGTGAGTGTGTGTGAGTGTGTGAGTGTGTGAGTGAGTGAGTGAGTGTGTGTGTGTGTGTGTGTGTGTGTGTGTGTGTACAGTCGGCTTGTATATCTTCAAAATGAACCCTCATCCATCTGGATGCATCAAGACTGTGAAGAGCAGATTCGACTCCTGCCTCTGATCCTGCTGCCGTTGGTTTTCCCTGACGCTTCGTCGTTAGAAAGTGTTTTGCATTCGTTTCGGTCGGCGAAATGTCTGGATGTTGTCTGCCATCCACTGAAGGAATTCACAAGATTAGTGTCGATTTGCTGATTTTTACAGATTTGCTGGACGCAGCAGATCACTGACATCCTCATGAATACTATAATGAGCCTAATTTGCATATTAATGAGGCGAGTCTGCTGTGATTGGCTGAAATGCTCCTGCTGTATAAATGAGACGCGAGTGTATTTTTGGTGTAAATTGTATAACATATGAAATATAAGATATGGAGGAATGACGTCACAGCCGTGATCATCATCATCATCATCGCGATCCAAAGCTGGTCATCGCTCGCTCTTTACGTATCTGTTCCTTTGCTTTTATTGTGTTTTTAATATTGTTTGTTTATGCTGTAAATATTGGAGGTGTGCTGTGATATTTATTCAGGACAATCATCTTGTACTGGTTCTTGAGTTCATATTGTACATGATCAAATATACTGAATGGATCAACAAGCGTCTACCTGCTCATAATTCTAATATATCTATTTCTTTCTAGTTTTTTGAGATCATGAACTTGTTTAACTGTCCGTGCGAAATCTTGCTAAATGTCCATGTAGAAAATCTCACACAGGTTTATAAAGTGAATTCAGCAATACTTTACGTATAATGCGTTATATCTTTTCATAAGTAACTGTAACCAAAGTTAAAATGCATTATAATATTTGAAGGGTTTTTTTGCAGTGTTTTAATGCATTATACTTCCTAAAGGTGTAACAATGCATACATAATTATTATAATGCATTATAACTGTGGTTACCATTATTCATGAGATCATACAATGCATTATAAGGCATAATTAATGCATTATATATAAAGGCTTTAAGTAAAGTGTTACCATGAATCCATAACAATTGCATTTATATCCAAAATTACATTAAGGTCCCATTAGTTAACATTAGTTAATGCATTAACTAACAATGAACAATACATTTGTTACAGTATTTATTAATGTTAGTTAAAAATCTAAACATTTTTAAAGAAATATACATTTACATGCAAAATGACTTAAGATATTAAGTCTTAACTTCTGAAAAATGTATTAAAATTAAGCAAAATTATGATTAAAACAAGAACAAATATTTCCGAGTGGGGTCAGAAAAATAATCTTGTTTTCCTTTTGAATTAAGTTTATTTTTCTGACCCAACTGCCAAAATAATTTTTAATTTATTTTTAATTTTTTTGTTTTAAAAATGTATCTTCTTGATTTAAGGATGTTTAGATATTTGTAGTGAAAAACAAGACAAAAATACTGAGGAAAAATCGTTTTTGCAGTGTGTTAGTTCATATTAGCTCAACTCCATTAAATAATATTAACAGATGCAACATTTGATTTTAATAATGTATTAGTAAATGCTAAAAAATGCTAAAAAATAAAAAAAAGTAAGATTAATAAATCCTTTAGAATTATTTTAGTTAACTTGTGTTAATAAATGGAACCGTATTCCATTGTAAAAAAAAAAAAGTGTAAAGTGTTACCGAAAACTTTATTAAATGACACAAGGCTTCAGTCAAAGACTTTCATCAGATGATTCAAAGACGTGATTTTTAAGTTGAAGTTACAGCAGTTTGAAACTGGGAATAATAAAAGGGTTCAATCATACAGTTAAAGGGTTGATGAGATTGTCATCATTTACTCACCATGATGTGGACAAGATTCTGCATGAAAATTTAGAGGAACGTTTTTACACAATGAAATTGAATGTGGATAAATGTCAAGATCAAATAATTGCATCATAACAGTAGTTCTACATCTTCTGAAGCCACATGAGAGTTCTGCGTGAGGAACAGACACACATTTAACTGAAGAAGATTCACTCAAAATGACTTTTGTGTGACTCTCCGAAGAGCATGAGTCAAGTGAACTGCTGTGATGACGCTTTATTGTCAGACAGTGTTCACTGTAACACACTAGTAACATCATGAGGGTGAGTAAACCTACACTCTAAAAAATGCTGGGTTAAATACAACCCAGTGCTGGGTAAAATAGGGACAAACCCAGCAATTGGGCTGTTTTGACCCAGCACCCAGCATTTTTTAAAGTGTAGAGTTCTGGAGAGTTTCTCAGTCCTGCTCCTGAAATGTTTCTCAGCGCTGAATTTGAATCGTATAGATGTGAAGAGAAACCGCACTCCTTTAGAGATGAAAACAGGAATCATTACAATCACAATCCATCCATCGCAGATCACAGGAATGTTCTCAGAATGTTCTCTCAAAGTTACGAGCAAACGTTCTCTGGTCTTAAATAATGTTCTCAAAACATTAGCAAAAAAACCTTATTTATACATTAACATAACGTTTAAATCTGAAACATTTTAGTTGAACATTCATCTAGCGTTTTTTAAATGTTACTTGTTTCATAGAACATTCAAAAGTAACATTCTCATAATGTTTGAAAAATGATCAAATGGAATGTTCCCTTATTAACGTGCACATAATGTTTTAAAAACAATAATAAAAATAAAAAAACATGTTTTGAATGTTTGGAGAACATTAAGATATAATGTTTTCATAACAAAATGGGAAAATTCTTAGCGCGTATTTTAGTTTTTTTGGATAACAGAGTGTTTAATGAGAGTTTGTTCAGCCGAGAACATTTAAACTACAGCAGATTGATTTGAGCTTCAGAAAACTAATCATTATACAACTGCTGTCAGATGTTATTGCTGATTGATAAATGTCACTGAAATATCATTGAGATATATTGGTCTTAGAAGGCTGTTTGAGTGTCTGCTCATGAAAGTAGACATAAACCGATCCAAAAGAGCTTCTAATGATTCTCCCTTCTCTCTGTGGACCAGCAAAGACACATACAGAATCTGATCATTATGAGGCTTCTGTTAATGAGCTTTTGAGATGAACCGTGCGTTTGATGAGGGACACAACCAACATCTGCCACGCTGGAGATCCAAGAACACATACACGGCTCACACCTCATGGCTGCATTTGATACTGTTGACCGTAACATCTTGATTACACGCTTAGAACAATGTGTTGGTATTAAGGGTACTGCATTGGGATGGTTTAGATCCTATTTGTCTGATATAAAATATATTTATAGTTATTTTTCAGTTCGTTTTGGAGAGTTTGTCTCCTCGACTGCTTCTTTTTCGTGTGAGGTCCCCCAGGGCTCCATTTTGGGGGCTATTCTGTTCTCCCTGTATATGCTTGTCTCCTCGACTGCTTCTTTCTCGTGTGGGGTCCCCCAGGGCTCCATTTTGGGGTCTATTCTGTTCTCCCTGTATATGCTTGTCTCCTCGACTGCTTCTTTCTCGTGTGGGGTCCCCCAGGTCTCCATTTTGGGGCCTATTCTGTTCTCCCTGTATATGCTCCCCTTAGGACATATTTTTAGGAAATTTGGTATTTCTTTTCATTGTTATGCAGACGATACGCAAATGTATCTGCCTTTGAAATGAAAAGATACTTGCTCTTTAGCGCCCCTGTTGCAGTGTCTCGAGGAAATTAAGGCCTGGATGGCACTAAATGTCCTTAATTTTAATGAAAATAAAACAGAAGTTATACTGTTTACGCCGGGAGGTACTTGTGAGTCATCAGATTTGAACCTTGGGAAATTTGGTATTTCGTTTCATTGTTATGCAGACGATACGCAAATTTATCTGCCTTTGAAACGAAAAGATACTTGTTCTTTAGCTCTCCTACTGCAGTATATTGAGGAAATTAAGGACTGGATGGCACTAAATATCCTTAATTTTAATGAAAATAAAACAGAAGTTATGCTGTTTGCGCCGGGAGGTACTTGTGAGTCATCAGATTTGGACCTTGGTGAATTGAAACCACTTGTGAAGCCCTATATGTAAAAAATGTAGGCGTTATCATGGATTGTGATTTTAAACTGGATAAACAGATTAACTTGGTAGTTAAATCTAGTTTTTTTTTTCCACTTGAGACATCTCACCAAGGTGAAATCTTTCCTGTCCTCTAAAGACTTTCAAAGAATTGTACATATTTTTTATTTCAGCTCGTCTGGATTACTGTAATAGCCTCTATACATGTATTAGTCAGGCCTCTCTTTCCAGACTGCAGATGGTCCAGAATGCTGCAGCTCGCCTGCTGAGCTGCTAAGCTCTTTTTGTGTGTACAACACTTTGATAAACACTTGCTGTTTTTTAAAAAAGTGTTTATAAATAAGCTTTGACTTTGACTTTGACATGCAGACCGATGAGCATGACTGAGACGACACGCAGACGTCAGCACGTGAGTAGATGTTCTTCTGCTGCTGATTCCACACAGAAGATCTAGTGTTAAACGTGAAGACTGCTGCCTCAGATTGTTTGTGCTAGATTCTTCCAGATAACGGTTCATCACTGTGTTTTAGGATCTTCTTATTAAAAACCACTTTTGACTGCATGTGGATCTGTGGAGATTCAAAGTGTTGCGTCTGCTTCTGGATCAGTGTGAGAAGAGTGTTTTTCTGCATTTCAGTTTTTCTTTCCGAGTCTGATGTTCTGAGGTTTGACATCAACCGACTGACTGAGTTCATTACTGTATCATATTTAATTCATGAATTTATAAGGCTCTAAATGATCAATCTTTGCTGTTAAACCTGTTTCTCACTCGATCTCCTCATGTCTTCTGTCTCTGGTTGATAGTTTAGAGTGTTTTATCCAGTCAAAGCTCTTTTAGTGTAATTGTACAAACGTTTATAAATATCAGCATCTGCAGCAAATTCATATTTTAGCTGAGTTTGAGTCTCTGAATAAAATTGAGCTTCATATGAGCCATAAAAGCCAAATATGATACGAAACATAAAACACATATGCAAACTTTAAGATTTGTATCTGTAAGCACAGTTAAGTTAATCATTCTCATAGAGTAGTTTGTGCATTCAGTCAATAATTATTTCACCAGCTCATTTCGCTTGGAGATTCAGAGATACAAATGAGAAATGCAAGCAATTGCTTTCATTTTATGTCCATTAGTTACTGCTCTCGTTAGTTAGTGCCCACAATTGTTTCATTGTTTTTCATTACTTAATGAGGAAGTTTCAGTACTTCAGTTCTTCTGTGATGTTTCTCAAGTCTCCTGAGCTGTGCGTGACATTTTGTCTTTTGTTAGTCTCCTGATTCTGCATTTGGTCCAAATTGTCCAGCGCTTAGTGAGTTTAAATCCAGAGCTTCATTAGTTGAGGGTCCTTCTTCCTCTCAAACACACATTATTCAGCACTGATTGCTGCATCATTAAAGAGAATCACAAAGAAATTCAAGCATAACCCGTCTGCGCCCGTGAAGACTCTTCCGTTTGATTTGTGTTTGTGCTCATTAAGACGGACTGTAATGAGGGAAGCGAGCGTGAGTTTGTAATCAGAGCTTGAGCTGGACATTCCACAGGTTTAACACTAGTTAAATATAACCCCCATCAGCGGCCGAGCCAACACAGGCCTCCAGAGCATTCATCTCACCAGAGTCTGTCTGTCTGGAAATACGGATGAACATCTTGGAACTGAATATCGTTTATTGTCCCATTTTTGGGAAATTTGTCAGATTGTTCCAAAGCAGCTTCACATTAATAACATTTAAAATAATGTTGCATAATTTATTTTAAATAAACTGTAAAGCAGTAGAGGACAACAGTGTCATTACTCATATGGCAAAAAAAATTATTATTATTAATAATATTATTAATAATAATATGTTTTAATATTATTAATGTTTATAATAATAATAATATATTTTCATTTTAAATAGATTTCAAAATATACAAAAAAAAAAAAGGCCAAAAAATAAATTTGCTAAAATGTGTTTCAAATTATATTTACGTAAATATATTTTCTACCAATATTGTTTGTGGGTATTTTTCGTAGGCTACTTATATATATATCTTAGATTTTAATAAATATATAGGCCCAACTGTACGATTGCAAATTTATTTTCTTGCCCCTAAAACACATTTTGAAATATATTTTAGTATATGAAGGTTGAAACTCAATATATTTTCGATTTCAAAAATCTATATTTCATTGAGCTGCACTGTTTACGACATACTGTATATTTAGCATATATTTAAAATATGTATTTGTCAGGGGAAAAATGCGATTATAATCGGCATACGTTTATAGTTGCTACGATTATGAGTTTAATAGGATCAGTTTAATCGAAGCGTTGTGTTTATGTGGTAAGTTTAATCGCAATATTGGCTCAGATTTATTATAATTGCATGCAAACGCAGTCAATGTTTCCGTGGAAATATGTCTAATAGATTTCGGTAATATTAATTGTGTTACACGCATAATTTCGAAATGCTGTGGCGTTTTCTCGGCTCTGCGCATGCGCGGTGCAGCGAGGGGAGGGAGGTAAACAAGATGGCGGCAGCCTTGAAGCAGCAGCGGCTGTGAGGAACAGATGTGAGAAAATAAGCGACTGAGGAGCAAAAGAGGAGCAGAAACGCGAGTGTCCGTGTCTCGTCGAGCCGTGCCGGTGATCGCAGCCTCAGCTCGGTGAGTTTGTTGCTTATTTTCTGTCAGAGATGAGCGTTAGCCGCCGCTAACCGAACACGCTCGTCAGCGTCGACACAAACAGCGCGTTCAGCGCACAAACTCCCTCACACACACACACACACACACACACACACCGATGAAATACAGGGTTCATTTGATCGATCACCCGCGTCTGTGTTTGTGTCTCTGGTTTAATATTAGCACCCAATCACAACATTACTGTGCTATCAGACGGTACAACTGTGGTACTTTATGATTACCGCGCTCTGTTTACATCATACTTCAACCAATACTATGGTAACTAATGCTAATTCATAGGTGTGTCAGAGAATGTGGTTCAGGGCTGTATTATATTCCCTCAGTGCGGATCATTAGAACACGTCGCTCGGAGTCATGTACTGTAACACACTGCTGGACCAGCGAGTGCAGTGCTGAGATCAAGGGTTAGTTAGTTAGTTAGTTAGTTAGTTGGTTAGTGGACGGTTAATGTCCTTCTCCACCCGTCAAGTCAGTTTTAGTTATGAAGCACTTTTCAGAGCAGCTTTACAGAAATCATGATGTTGACAAATGTCAGTTTTTAGATGTTATGTGTCCAAAAGTACAACATTTCTGGAATTAATTAATTAATTTATTGTTTATTAATTGATTGTTTATTTATTTATTGCATTTATTTATGTATTTATTAATTTATTGTTTGTTTATTTATTTTTCCAGATATGTTTGACATACATTTTGAACCAGATCCTATAATAATTAAATTTGGAGTGTTTTTTTAGGCTGGCAACACAACAGTTGGTTTCATATAAGATAATAATTTCTGCCAAAAACAAACAAAAAAACAAAGCCTCATTCTGTTGACTTGGAAAAAAAAATAAATCCCAATTTTACTAGTACATTAGAATTAAAAAGAATTAGGTATATCTAATTTTGTTAATTTTTGTTATTGATATCTTCTCTGCAAACCGGTGATATTGTTTATGTCTCTATTTTTTTGCGTTGGGTGTGTTTTCTTTCTGGGTTTTTTTTAATTATTATTTATTTACTTATTTTCTTTCTCTCTATTTATTTACTTTTAATCTTTCTGTGCAATTATTATTACTTTTAAGCGAATCTTTGTTTGATCCATGTTTGTTATAATGTCAGTTTTATGTTTTTGTACTTAAAAAAAAAGTGGTTAGTTAAAAAAAAAAGCATTTTAACACAGATGTTAATATTTATAATATCTAATTATCTCCATGTCTTATCATTGCATTGATCAGATTAGTGCTGAACGTTAATACTTAGTGTTACATTTGTGACGATATAAGCAGGTGAGATTTGCTACATAGTATCTCTTCATTTGAGTGTGTGTGCTGCATGCATGAGTGTACTATATATCCAATCTGAAATATGTCACTGTGATGTATATCTGTTACAGTGATATAATAGCTGTTGTTCCTCTGGTGGGACACTTACATCCTCTAAAAATCACCGTCTGATTCAAACACCGTGAGACTTCACATGATAAAGAGAACAGATCTTGCAGTGTTTTATATGAGATTTGTGACCCTGGAGCACAAAGGTATATTTGTAGCAATAGCCAACAATACATTGTATGGGTCAAAATAATAAATTTGTCTTTTATGCCAAAAATCATTAGGATATTAAGTAAAGATCATGATCATTTAGATTTTTTTGCACCCTCAGATTCCAGATTTTCAAATAGTTGTATCTCAGCCAAATATTGTCCTATCCTAACAAACCATACATCAATGGAAAGATTATTATTCAGCTTTCAGATGATGTATACATCTCAATTTCAAAAAATTGACCCTTATGACTGGTTTTGTGCTCCAGGGTCACAAATGAGTGGATGTGTGGCATTAATGAGGCGTGTTACGCTGCTTCATAAGCAGATTGATGTTGAGGCTCCCTGATTAATATCTGATTCATTTCTCGTAGGTATTTCAGTCATGGATTTCCCGTAATGCCGAAGTGAAGTCGGTAATCCTCACCAAAGAGAGCGTTTACGCGCTTCTGAAGAGGATGCAAGGTCTTCTGCGACTGAAGTTCTGGTTTTGTGTGTTTCTGCAGAGATGTGCAGAGCTCCAGTGATCCCCAGCGTCGGCTAATAAAGCCTCACGACTGAAACGAAGCGACACCATTGGATTCTCACAGACTTGTGGAGACGCGGTTTGTTTCCGGTTATTGTTCGGATCTGTTCGCGATGCTTCTGCTGCGGTTTAACCGGTGTTTATCGGTTGACTGATCTTCCTGATCTCAACTGCTCCTTCGGAAAACAAATATTCCTGTCGAGCAATCAGTAAAAGAGCGCGGGATCGGCGGAGGGAGAGCGAGAGGCCCGGGAAGATGAGTTTAGGTGGAGAGCTCCAGCATCTGGACTACCTGACGGAGAACGAGCTCATGGACACCTTATTTTTTATAAACATTGTTAAAAAATATTTTATTTCTAAGAAGTTTATTAAATGTATTTATAAAATATTTTTATGTATTAAAATCTATTTTTATTTATAAAAAAATATTTTATATTTTATTTAAAAAATATCTTAATTTAAGAAAATATTAGTTTAAGAACAAATATTTGTCTTCATAAGAATGTTATGCTTTATTGAGAAAAAATATGTATTTTATATTCTAAAAGTATTTTTACATTATATTATATAACATTTTAATAATCTGTTTTACATTTTATTTAAATAATATTTAAATATTTTTTATTTATATAGAAATAAATGTTTGTCTTCATAATCTTACATCTTAAAATAATAACTTCCCTTTTCTGCTGCTGGTTAATGTTAACATCAACCAACAGTCAGCTATTGAGTGATTGTACCGCGGCCTTTCTGTCTTTAAAGCTGGTTAACCGGTGAGAGAATCGAATCCTGCTGCAGTTCTTTAGTTCTTCCTCACTGAACGTTCTGTTTCAGTCGTAAATGTTGCGTCACATGACGGAAGTGAAATGATTGTGGATGTTCAGTTTGACTCGAGGTGTTTTCTGACACTCGTCATGTTCGTTCTGCACTGTGTGAAATATCATTTCCATCTCTTTAATCACACAGAGCAGTTAAATTAATTAAAATAATGTACAGTGAAGCCTCAGGCTTCTGCTTTAAATAGAAGAGAGCTTTTGGAGCCGCTTCAAAACCCTTGCGTGCCAGGACACGTGTGTTTGGTCTTCTGCTTGAAACTGCGTTAGAAGATTAGTGCTCGTGTGTCGACCGGCTCTGTGCCAAAACTACACAGACAGCACCCTTATAAGGCAGCATCCAACACACTGAAGATATTTGCTGATACCTCAAAACATACTGCGATACTATTTCGATTCGATTCGATTCAGTGGCCTGTGATCGATAAATATTTACATCAGTAACATCAATTACAACTCATAAATGCAAACAAAATAAAATATATATAGTAATTCAACTCTCTAAATTGGGGCATCCACAACAAAAAAAAGTACACTATTTATTTTCAAACAATATATATATAAAAGAATGGTTAAAACTTAAAACTATATATTGATTTTATATATTTGATTGATGTTTCAATCTCTATCGATGCAGAAGTACACCCCTTGCATTTTTACTCATTGATTTTTTTGCAGTATGTGTATTATAATTGATCTGTCATCTTAATTCCCCCCC